CGCCGAGCAGGATGGTGCCGGTGCGCACGTGGCAACACAGGCAGCAGCTGTTGGAGTAGAACCGCGTCCAGGGCGCGACCATCTTCATCGCTCCGGCCGCGGCGCCCACGCACGCCCAAGTTTGCGAGAGCAACACCACGCCAACCCGGGCCCCGCGCTGCTGCCGCCGGCTCCCCGGACGCCGCTCCCGAGCTCCGACGATGCGGCTCCCGCGCCGCTCGCCAACCGCAGGCTCCGCGCAGCGAAGAGAGCTCCGCACCACTGCGAGCCACACGGGCGCTCCGAGACTGACTACCACAGCGACGGCGCGGCGAGGGGCGGGGCGGGAGCGACGAGGGGCGGGGCGGAAGGGGCGGGGCGAGGACCGTGGGGCGCCGGGGGCGGGGGGCGCGGGCGGTGCGGGCCCCGCCCGGGGGGAGCGGGGGGCGGGGCGGGGGGGGGGGGGGGGCGCGCGTGGCGCGGGCGCCGGGGGCGGGGCGGGCAGGGGGATGAGCGGGCCGGGGGCGGGGCCATCATGGATATGGGCGGGGCGAGGCGGGGCGAGCGTGGCCACGTGACCCCGTTGGGGGCCGGTGAAGTCACCAGAGGCTCTACCAGCTGCAGGCTGCGGGAGCCGAGGGGGAAAGTAGATAAATACATTGTCGGCCGCCCCCAGCCAGCACTGCTGTGGAGTTCCGGGCCTTCCCCCTCTCCTCTAGCCGGGATTCCGGGTCCATTTCCAGTCTAATCTGTTGCATCCCCTCCCCCGCCCTTCTATCTTGCAGATAATCCACAGGAGCTGTGCTGTCCCTGTGATTATCTTGCAAAGTGGAGGAAGGAAGCCTGCGTGGTATGATTCCAGTCCACCGCAGTACTTTGAACCGCTGCCGAGCCCGCTGAGAGCAGTTTGTCTGTGCTTTCCAGCTCAATGACTATAGTGATAATCCCAGAAAATAGGATGTGTGTCAAGGGCATCCTCGCAGTGCTTGGGTAGCATTTTTAATCGTGACTGCAGCTCTGGGGAAACAATTATCAAACCGATTGCTGCCACGAACTATCTGTAAGACACAACACCGAACTAATAGGACCAGGGCTTGAAGAAGGGGACTTCCCGGCAGGTGGTATTTATCTCCACCGCCCCCGTCCGAGGTTGGCCTCGGACCACCGGGAAAGCCAAGAATCCCAGATAGCTTAGATTTCTAGCACGTGTGAAAGCTTGATTTCAGATGCTGAGCAAGACAAAAATTTAAATTTTTCCGGGTTATTTCAGTTTCTTTTGTGTAAGGATTAACTTCATTATCATGACAATTGAAACTGGCGTGTGTGGGAAATTTGGCTGTTATCTCTCTAATCCTGAGTTGTTGGGAGGTCAGATAAACAGCTTAGTTTCAGTTTGGCGAGGTGAACCCTTAGCGTAAGTGACTCCATTTTTCTTAAGCTTTGTTTTTCTCCATCCCCCTTTTTTATTAGTATATGTTTGTTTTGTTTTTGTTTTGTTGTTGTTGTTGTTTGGTACCGGGAATCGAACTCTGGACCTTGCGCTTGCCAGGCAGGCGCTTGTGCCACTGAGACATATCCCCGGCCCTAGTATATGTTTGTGATGCACAATAAATGTGTCTATCATGGGGAATTGGTGCAGATACACACTGCATCTTGAGCCCTTGGTATCAATTTAAATCTCTTAAGGGCAGGTTGTGTAGGAAGAAACATGGTGTTAGATGACACCAGCTCCAGGACTGGGTTCTGCTACAAGGGTTTCCAGCTGCCACCTACCCCACATAGCCTGTGAGGAGAGGCAGAGCCAGCCCCGGCATACTAAGTACAGGCCCTTGAGCAGCAATTAATAAGTAACCTTGTTCTGAGAGTTCATCCGGAAACATCAAACAGGAGAGCTTAGCTTTTGTTTCCCATAACACTGGAGATGATTTTCCCTCTGGGACCTTGCATTTAGTGTGGGCTGCAGGACCGGCTCAGTGCCTGAGCGTTCCTTTGCGTAGCACATGTGAGGTTCTAGCAGGAGTCAATCCCCAGACAGGGAAAGGAGATTGACATTTAATTATGCCACAGCCATTGCTAGCGCAGCGGGAATCTGGGATCAGAATGAGTGAGGAGCGCAGCCTTGAAAAAGGCCTTCCGGATTCGTACTCCCAGAAAGTGCCCACAGGTAACTCCCTCTTCCCCACCACAACCTCAGATTCTCTGGGCCGCTGAGTTGTTGATGCCGTGGCATTTGGTATTTCAGAAAACTCAGCCTTCAAGATCTGAAGGACTGTAGACCCACAGTACCGCCAGGATCGCAGACCTCTACGTGAGGTGAACGTGTTGTAGGCAGTCAGACAGGGCTGGGCCCTTGAGGAAGTCAGTGCAGGAGATAGGAATACATCCAGACTGCATCAATGGCCAGATGTGCACACTTCCCTAAGGGATAAAGGGAAGCTTGAGATTATTGTTATCAACCCCCCCCTTTCAGATTTCCCATTATCTCATTAGGGGTCGGCCATCCTCTTCTACCCACTATAGGAAAAATAAGACTATAAGCTGAAATCCTGGGCAACAAAGGCAAGGCAGGGGGCATCACAATGCCTGATTTAAAATTATACTACAAAGCTGCTGTGATAAAAACAGCATAGTAAGCTGGGCATGGTGGCGCACGCCTGTAATCCCAGCACTTGGAAGCCTGAGGCAGGAGGATCGTTGTGAGTTCGAGACCGGCCTGGGCTACCAAGTGAGCTCAAGGCCAGCCTGAACTGCAGAGTGAGATGCTGTCTCAAAAAAAAAAAACAGCATGGTACTGGCAAAAAACAAACAAACAAATAAACAAAAAATCAGACCAAGGATAAATAGAACAGATTAGAAGATGCAGAAATAACTCCCGGCATACTGAGCCACCTTACCTTTGACAAAGGTGCCAAACCTTTCCCTGGAAGAAAGACAACCTCCTTAATAAATGGTTGTGGAAAAACTGGCTCTGTACATGCTGAAGATTAAAACAAGACTCATATGTCTCACCACGCACTAAACTAAAATCAAAATAGATCAAAGATCTAAATATTAAAACAAAATCTGCTGGAAGATAGAATAGGTAGAACTCTAAAAACCAAAGATGAAGGCAAAGACTATTAGCAAAACCCCAGTGGCACAGGAGCTACACAGAGAATCAACAACTGGGATCATATCTCATTAAAAAGCTTTTGCACAGATGGTGCATGGTGGCGCACACCTATAATACCAGCACTTGGGAGGCTGAGGCAGGAGAATCATTGCAACTTCAAGACCAGCCTGGGCTACAAAGTGAGCTCAAGTCCAACCTGAGCTGCATAGTGAGACCCTGTCTCAAAAAGACAAAAAATAAAAAGTTCACCATCACTGGTAATTGGAGAAATGCAAATTAAAATGACTTTGAGATTCCATCTTGGGCTGGGAATAAAGCTCAGTGGCATAAATACCTGCCTGGCAAGCGCAAGGTCCTGAATTCGAGTCCTGAATTTCAGACAAAAAAAAAAACGAGATTCCATCTCACTCTAGAAAGAATGACTATTATCAAGAAATCAACCAATAACAAAAGCTGAAGGGGCTGTGGGGGAAAAGGAATCCTTCTGCACTGCTCCTGGGAGTGTATACTGGTGCAACCACTGTAGAAATCAATGTGCAGATTCCTCAAAAAACTAGGACTAGAGGTTCCATTTGACCAAGCTATTCCTCTTCTTGGTATTTTCCGAAAAGAATTAAAATCAGCATACCACAGCATATGTACACCCCCATGTTTATATTGGCAGAGTTTGTAATAACTAAATCTTGGAAACAGCCCAAAAGCCCATTAATTGGTGAACGGATAAAGAAGACATGTGTTTTTTTTTAATACAATGGAGTACTACTCTGCCATTAGGAAGGATAAACGAGACATTTCTAGCTAAGTGGATGCACCTTCAGATCGTACTCTTTTTGTTTTTTTGTTTTGTTTTGTTTTATTTTTGTTTTTATTTGTTTTTTTCTGGTACTGGGAATCGAACTCACAACCTCATGCTTGCCAGGCAGGTACTGTGCCACTGAGCTAAATCCCCAGCCCTCCAGATCATACTCTTAACTGAAATAAATTGGATACATGTATAAATACTGTATTATTTCTCTGGTTTGAGAAACTGAAGGTGTAAATAAGGACCAAAGTGTATAACAGGTATTGTGAAATAGAAAATGTTCAAATGGAAAGGGGAGCTAGGGAATAGGAAGGGGAAAGGAAGGAAAAGAAAAAAAAATGAGAAAAGGAAAAAATGGAAACAAAGCTTTTGTAAATAAGGGTTGAAAGGAGATTGGGGGAGTGGGAAAAAAAAGAATCAAGTTATATATCATGGACAGGTACAAATTCCTTTTTTTTTTTTCCAGTACTGGGAATTGAACTCACGACCTCGCACTTGCCAGGCAGGCACTGTGCCACTGAGCTAAATCCCCAGCCCCCCCCAATTCCCTATGATGAATATGATCACTATGTACATCTAAAATATATCAGTACACTTAATTAATAATAAACAAGAGGGTAGGGCATGGTGGTGCACGTCTGTAATACCAACACTTGGGAGGCTGAGGCAGAAGGATCACCATGAGTTTGAGGCAAGCCTGGGCTACAAAGTGAGCTCAAGGCCAGCCTGAACAGCATAGCAAGACCCCGTCTCAAAAAAAGACTAATGATAATAATGATAGAAAGACTGTAGGTCAGCTTGATGGTGCACGCCTATAATCCTAGCACTTAGGAGGCTGAGGCAGGAGGATCATTGTGAGTTTGAGACCAGCCTGGGCTACAAAGTAAGTTCAAGGTCAGCCTGAACTATGTAGCAAAACCCTATCTCGGAGATGGAGATTTAACTGAGCCGCACAGGGCCTGCCTGGCAAGCGGAAGGTTGTGAGTTCAATTACCAGTACCGAGAAAAAAAAAAAAAACAAAAAACCCCTATCTCAAAAACACAAAAAAGAATCGGATGTGGTGGCGCATGCCTGTGGATCGCTGCAGGGTTTCAAGCCTGGGCTACAAAGTGAGCTCAAGGGCCGCCTGAACGTCGTAGTGAGACTTTGTCTCAAAAAGACAAAAAAAAAAAGACAAGACTATATAGATTATCAACCAAGGTCAGCGATGTCTTCCATTTGCCCTTGCTACTACTGGATCGATATTAGCTAAGTGACTATGTTTGTAATCTTATTGATTGATCATAATGTTGACCCACGTCATACCTGCTGTATACTTTTACTCTATGAAACAAAGCAAGACAGTATCTCAAAAAAAAAAAAAAAAAAAACTTTCTTTGAGAAGTGGGCTCCTTGCCAACCCATGTGGGACCCCTCTGGCCT